TTATAACTTTAATATAAACCATGTCATACTTCCAATGACTTCAGCATATACAAGATAGAGCCTGATTAAAAAAAAAAACCAAAACACCGTTGTACCAGCACAAGGTTCCCCACAGCATGAGCATCACACAACTTTTAGACAGCCCCTTGTTTATCCCCGTGTTGCTCTGAGCCCCCTGTCCTCCCCACAGCCACAGCACACAACAGCTTAAAAAAATAAGTGGGAAGTGACATTCAATGAATACACCAGCACTTAAATTAAGGCAGAATAAATAACTGTTCCACATCAGTGATAGGCATTTTCAGGTGAGTGCTGGAGCCTGGTCAGCACTCGCTGTTCACTGCCCTGTGCTCATCACAGTAAGTGCTGGTGTGCCTGAGGCAAGTCAAGCACACACTGTGAAAGCACCCCCCAACCCCAAGCAGAGGTCAGCTATAAAGTTATTTCCATTTTTTCCAAGCAACTCAGCCCCCTTCCCCAGCCCCTTTTTGGTCTGGGATTTTCCTCATACACATTGGTTCCTCTGTCACAGCCTCAGTGTGGCTTCAGTAGCATCCCAATCCTGGACCAGACAGATGATCCTCTCACTCTGAGAGAGATCAGGCTGGCATGAAAGAACACAGTGCAGTTCAGGATTTACAGATCTGCAGATGTCTTTGGAGCAATGATGAACAGTTTTTCACTCAGCCCAGGATAAGCAGCTTGAGTTGACAGAGTTCACCTAAAGGAAGGAAGCCACTGTTCATGGTGATATGAAGAGTTTTCCATTCCTGATGAGGGCTTTGGAAAGACATTGGACATAGCTGACCATAGTTTCACAAAAAAAAAAATTAAAAAAATATGTCCAGTTACAGGGACATGGCTGTTGATGTGAATAATGGCACATGCCTCAACCATAGATACAGCCACAGGGTGAATACAATTCTGCCAAGCAGCACAAGACACTCAGGGAAAATCATAGTCAGTGTCCCACTTCCCCTGGCAGGGAAATATTCATTTAGGGAGAAAATCCACCAAACAGCAAAAATTAAGATCTGTGTTCCATCCCAGCCAGTTAGTGTGTTAGTGCCAATTTCCTTAAACCATGAGCAAAGGATAGTACCAATCCTCTCAAAAGGAAAAACAAAACAAAAATATAAAACCCATTCATTTAAAATATGGCTTCACAAAGCCGTTGTAAAACTTAAATGTCCTCTTCAGTTGGTGCATATGAAAATCCTAAAAATGCATCTGAGGCACTGGAGCTGCTGGCTGCTAGCTCAGGTGTGCGGGTGATGGAGGCAGAGATGGCTTCTTGGGTGAACTCAGGATCAAAGTGTCGCAGATCAGCTGGGCCAGCCTAACCAAGGAGCAGAGACACGATCATTGGGGGAACAGACCCAAACCAGACCCTTGTGTTCAGGCAGTCCAACACAGCTGCTCTTCCAAAAGAGCCACCACCTGCATCTGCAGGTCCCAACCCACCCCTCAGAATCCTCAGTGTCACCATGAGGCATCTGGAAAGAATCCCATGTGTAAAACAGACAGAATTACCCACTTACCACATTGGGGTTGAATGGAGGAGTAATCCTCTTGTGATATAAATCATCCCAGTTTATTGGGCTGAAGAATACGTGGTTCTTTATTTCAAGCTGTACAGAAAGCAGGAAGGAAAAGTCAGTCTTCTGCCAACCCTCCTTTTCCAGCACCTGATCTGACAGCTCTAAGTGGCTGAAGAAAGGCTTGAAGTTACCACAAACCCATATCCACAAATCCTTAATACATTGGGGTCCTAGTCCAGGAATGCCCTGAAGGGAAATGACCCATCACACACTGGTGTCCTTAGCTGGCCCCCACCCCTCTCCCTTTGGAAATCCAAGTCAACCCCATGTATCCCTTGTAGGAGGCTGAAGGGACAGACTGTGTGGGAAGGTTTTTTCCAAGGCAGTGCTGTTATGAAAGAAATGCTCAGAATAGAAATTTTCCTCTCCATCCTCCCTCCCTCCTGCTCATATAGTGAAGGCCACCTACAAAGTCTGTTTTGGCACCCAGCCTCCTCTTCTGGTCCTTGTGGAGAAGTCCCTGAAGGATGTCACAAGCTGCCACAGTTTTGGTTCCTTGGATCTGTAGTGGCTTGTGCAGAATGTTGTCATACATCTGAGACACATCCCGGCTGTAAAAAGGAGGCTAATTTGAAAGAGAGGAGAAGCAACCAGATAAAACATGAGCTACCCAAAGGAGTGACACATTGCAGGTCAAAACGGGTCCTGCAGTGAGTAAATGAGGGAGACCTGCCACACCTCTCATCAAAAGGGCAGTGGTAGGGTTGAACCAGATCATTAATTCAGGATTTAGTTGTTTATCAAGTACCTTGTGAGCACCTGATCAACCTCACACCACAGCTTTTGCAAATAAAATTTCCACAATGTAAAGGAAACCGGCCCATTTCCAAACTTACCAGTCCAAAGAGCATTTCATAGAGGACAGCTCCTAGGCACCACCAGTCTACTGTCCTGTCATAGGGCTGCTTCTTTAGCACCTCAGGAGCCAGGTACTGAGAAGTCAGAAGGAAATATTGGAGTCAAATTATAAAGGAAGGGCTTTGTCCTTCTTAGTCCCAAACCGGGCTGCAGCTCAACTTGAGCAACTGCATTAAGAAAACACAGATGCTTTTCCTAGTATTATCTAATAAATTCTCCACTTGCTTTGGAGCAATGGGGTTGAGAGACACCTACCAGAGCCCTCAAAGTGTCCTTCCAGGCTACAGGAGGTTCTCTTCCTCAAGAGGACTTCTACAAGCATTTGCTGCCTGCCACAATTCAGCCAGCAATCCTGTCCCACTATGACATATCACACCTCTAAAAGCTCCTGTGCAGTTTTCAGCCCCAGTAAGTCTGTCCAAAACAGCTAAGCTACCAAGAGCCACCATCAAGGAGCAACAGGCAAATTTGAGCAGGCTGCAGAACAGTTTCCCACAGAATTACCTCTGTGTACTATCAGGCTGTATCTAGAGT